AGATGTGAACAAACAAATATATTCTTTTAATGAAAGAAATTCCCAAATTAAGTAAAAAAAAAAAAAAAAAGAAAAGAAAAGAAAAGAAAAAAAGCTGCAATTACTAACCAGTAACCTTTGTAAACAAGGAATCCTCAGGGTATGATTCCTTGTTTACAAAGGATACTGGTTAGTAAAGTTAGTAAGTTCATAAAATGAGCTGGGAAAATTAGATACTAGAGATGTCGTGAATCAAGATGTCTGGACGTGGGTTATTGTCTAGAAGTTGAGCAAAGTGTGTGTATTGCATAGAAGAAGTGTGTGGGGTTTTGCAGAACAGCACCAGGTCCTAGCTATCCCCATTACCCTGCCATAGAACTAGTGATTTTCTAACTTAGGTTTCAAATAGTCTAGAAGGAAAATAGATCTCAAGAAACATACATTCTTTCTGGGAAGACATTGATTTGCGGTTTGTAAAGAAAAAAGAAATGCATTCTGAAAAATCTTCCCTAGTGTGTTTTAAGTGTACTAATTTCTTAATGCTAAACATATGTTCGATTTAGGAGACCCAGTGGTATTTTATTTAAGTGTTGACTTCACTGATATAAATTGGGTTGGGCAAGACCACTTCTAAAATTCTTTTTGGTTTGAAGGCATGATAATTACAGATCTGTTTTCATTATAAGAACATTCCTCTGACCAGCATTATTAGTGACCACTGGGTGACACTGAGGCTGTGTTGGGGGCTCTGGATACCTTCACCTCTGACAGTGGTCACTTGTATGGCACACAGGAACCGAGGCCGAGCTTTGACAGCTGCTCCGATGGACTGAACACAGATGTGCAGCTGCCCTCTCAGACGCCTGCCCTCCTGTGGCCAGGGGGCTCGGCTCAGATCCTGTCTCACAGAAGCGAATCTACTTATGCGATTGGCAGCGATCCCCTTCAACAGAACATTTACGAGAATTTCATGCGGGAGTTGGAAATGAGCAGGACCAACACTGAGCGCGTAGAAACCTCCACAGAAACCGTGGAGTCCAGCAGTGAGTCACTAAGCTCACTGGAGCAACTGGATCTGCTCTTTGAGAAGGAGCAGGGAGTGGTACGGAAGGCTGGGTGGCTTTTCTTCAAACCCCTTGTCACTTTGCAGAAGGAAAGGAAGCTGGAGCTGGTTACTCGGAGGAAGTGGAAACAGTACTGGGTAACGCTTAAGGGTAAGCACCTTCGCTGCTGGCCGTTGCCCCCTTCCCTGGACTCCTTGCAGGAAAGCGTCACTGTGGTCCATGTCTCTCAGATTTAATGTGAAAGATGCAATACAGAATCTCAGGGTGTGCTTTACCATAAAGCCTTTGCCAGATGCTTACTACCTGCATATATATTACTGAGTCAAATAATGGTTTCGTTTAAAAGCCATTGCTTATTATTTTTTATGTATTACTGTATCACTCTTTGACACCGTGTGTGTGTGTGTGTGTGTGTGTGTGTGTGTGTGTGTGTAGGGGGGTTAAGCTAAATAAACTATGAAACATAGTTTAGTTTTGGGAACATAGGTCTTTAATTTCACATTCTGCATTTTTCCAGAACTGCAATATAGTTACCTTTGATAGCTTGATTATCATTTTTAACATCATCTGGATTCTTGAATTGTAGCATTTCACTTTTATGAACTCGAAAGCCTAGCTTACTAGCAAGTGGGTCAATTTTTTTCTCTTTCTTTCTTTCTTTCTTTCTTTCTTTCTTTCTTTCTTTTTGTTGTTGTTGTTGTTGTTGTTGTTGCTGGGGATGGAGCCCAGGGTCTTGTGCATGCTGAGCATATGCTCTATCCCTGAGCTCTGCTCCTAGACCCACGTGTAACTTTTGTTTCTGCCTGTCATACTCCCTCCCTCCACTCTTCTCTCACCCTCTCTCCTCCTCTTCCTCACCCACCGTGAAAGAAATAGAAATAGGAATTTGTTAAGATGGTACACATTTTTTCAAGCATTTCCATTTAAAAAAATCTTCTTGCTTTGTTCTTGGTGATTGTGTAGATTTGAAGAAATCTAAGTGTCCTGTGAGGCAGGGAGAGGCCCTTGATGCACACGGTGTTCCTTTATACCGACGCAAACAGGAGGAGCAGCCCCTGAGCCCAGCGGCTTGGAGAGCTTCCACAGCACTCCTGTGTCCCTGTCAGAGGCTCTGACTGTGATATTTCAAAAGTCAGACCTTGTTATCAGGTGACGCCTTTCCCCAGCGTGAAAGAGGACAGAAACGGGAGTCACATCTGCAGACAGCATGTGTGAAATGCCCGGAAATGCCCAGAGCCCTCTGGATCGCTGCCTCCTAGCTTTCTTCCTTTGTCCTCTGTTTCCAAACAGTAGCAACCTTCCCCTAACCTTGCAGAGCCGAGAGCAGGTTCTGATTACCCATAAGCCCCTCTGATAAATATACATTTTAAGAAATGCTGTTCCCTGGTGGAAGGGGAGTGAGAGAGTGAGCTGCGGGGAGCCAGTGACCTGTCCCCACTGTTGATGTCTCTTTTGGCTCTAGATTGGCATCCTGTGGCATGTTGTGGCTGAGAGGGGCAAAGAACTTAGTATTTTATATGGGAGAAGTAGTTTTATGTGAATGACAAGAGATTTGGAAAATTGGAATAATGTGTTGAATCTAGTAAGCAAATAAATAGATCAAAGGACTAAGACATTATATCTTTTTTTTTTTTTTTTTGAGACAGAGTCTCACTATACAGCTCAGACTGGCCTTGCACTCATTTTGTAGCCCAGGCTGGTCCTGAACTTGCAACAGTCCTCCTGCCTCAGCCTCTGGAATGCTAGGATTATAGGTGTATGCCACCATGCCTGGATGAGAAGTTAAGTCATACGGCTTAAAAGTCAAAGAGTTACTCAAGGATAGGCTAGAGAGATATGACTGCACCATGGTTTGTCAGGTAGTAAGGCCAACGTAAAAGTCAGTGTGCTTTAAAAGAAAGAATGTGACCCTCACCTCTACCATTAGCGGTGTCATGTCTTTTTGCAAAGGAGGTGATAGTCTCCTTCCTTCTCCCTGGTCAGAGTTGGCATTTCCCTCATAGTGGGCCTGATGTGTGTTGGAGAGGACTCGTTCATAAATAAGAAAGCTCCTGAGAAGGCTGTGCCTGAAGGGCAGCCACCTGGAGAGATGAGCACCCCCGCTGGGTGGTGGCAATGTGTATAGGGGCTGAGCATCTGGAATTGTTCATGAATCATAGGGCCTCTCTTACTATATTTATAGTGGATGGACTTGATCCATAATGTGTCATGTACCTCCTTTTTTATAAAGTAAAATTTGTCTCTCTTTAAAATCTGTTTTATTTATATACTTATTTATTTGGTATTGGATCTTGCTGCACAGCTTGGACTTGTAGTGATCCTCCTGTCTCAGCCTCCCCAGCACTGGGATTATAGGCATGCACCACTATACCCGGTTTCCATGGCTGGCTCAGTATGGGGCCAGCATGGCATGCAGTACTGGGGATTGAACCTTGGTCCTTGCCCTTGCCAGGTAGGTGCTTAGACAGCGAGCTGTCTCTCCAGCCCAAAACTTGTTTCTTAAAATTAATGCTTTTGAAAGTTCTTCCCTGCCTGCTTTGAAAATCCTGTGTACATCTCCACAGCAGCGGATGGTGGTGGCCATATCTTACCTGGAAGAGCAGAACCATCCCTGACAGTGAAAGTATTTTGAGCCATATGGCATGGAAGAGGCTTAAGGATCTAAGACTCTTTATCCCAGCCAAAATAAGACCTAGCATGAGAGTGAGCCTCTGTGTTATAAAGAGACCCCATTTTTTTTTTCTGACTTTCAAAAGGTTAGGACAGGACTGTTGGAGGTCAGGCTGATTATGTGTCTCTGAAAACAACCACCACGTTTATTTTATTTTATTTTTTTCAAAGTTTTATTGATAAACAGATAGCAATGAGACAGTTTCAAATCAAATCGGAAGTACAGTTTCAACAAATAACACACTGCATATATTCTTCTTAGTGGTTAATTGCTGTACAAGATGCGGACTTGTGATCCTATTTACAAACACCATTAGAACAAATCATTCTATTCATTAAGAGAATGCAACTATATATCTATCCCAACCACTTTGAATACACAGATACAAAATGGACATTCATTGGTATACCCCATTTTTTCTAAGTTCCATTATTGAATATTATAGGTGTGTAAACTCAGCAAAATATTCTAAAAGAGTCCAGTAGCCCATAATAGCATTGGGTCTTCTGTTTAACTGGCAATGTCAGAAATTATTGACCTGAGTCCCCCACAGCTCAACTTAACAGCATGGCTTTATTTCTTATATTTCATCTTCATACTTTTCTACTGGATGGCTAAGACCAAGGTAAAGCAGGACCTATGCAACAAGAGTTGTAGCTTTTAACCACCACGTTTAGAACCCAAGGCAAGTGGGAAGACAACACCATACCTTCTTGTTTTTCCTGCTTCAGACAACAATGCTCTTCCACAACCAGATTTTCAGAGCCTTGTCTTTGTGGGTGGGGGTGGAGGGCTTGAGTCAACGTCAGGCAGGTGTCAGATGGAAGCTGGAAGAGTCCCTTGCCTGTTGCCTCCTGTCTACCCTGAAGCAAGGTCAGAACTTCTGCTGCTGAATTCAGGGGCGGGGGTGGGCTGGAGGGTTTTTTCTGTTGGTTTGTTTTTTGTTTTACTATTTTAAGGTCTCCTTCCCTTCTCTCTTGGAGCTTACTTGTAAAACACTTCAAGATGCATGGATAAAAGGTGCTTTGTAAGTGTTATCACACACACATTCCTCATTTCCTTTCAGCCTTGGCTAAGCTGGTGATAAAGATGTTTTTCCCAGCATGACCTTTCCCACATGGCTTTCTACACCTTTTTCCTCTGTGAATTTAGTATTTTTATAGCTTCACTTTATTGCCTTAGAGACCAAATAGCAATGTTTGGACTTAACTCTTTGGTTTAATGCTAGTTAAAAACATATAGGGTCACTTAGGCAGAATTCTAAAATTATACTCCAAATATCTATGTAGGTAAATTGGAAAGAGAGAAGTTACCTGTGAACTATCTGGTGAACTGCTTGCATTATATGTACAGGAATGCTCAGGGCACCAGTGTTTTCCAGGGTTTCGAGGATGTAATGAATTTTTAGCAAGGGTAATTCTGCTTTATACCTGGCTCTCCCAATGAGTGGCTCTTCATGCAATTCACAGACTTCCTAGAATGTGCAGTTCACAGGTCATTAAAGATGCCCCTCAAAAGGCACAGCATACTTGGTGCAACTTAAGGGAGGCCATCAGATGGCTTTGGGAAGCTAGTGTTTCTGTCCAGAGATGGCCCTGCAACAGCAAACTGAGGCCAAGTGGGGGACAAGAGGTATCAGAGGCAGCGTGTAGTTAGGAGAAGATTGAGGCTGATGGCTCTCTTCCACTGGTGCTATTTCTTCTCCTCTCCTGCTGTACATCCACTGCTGGTATAGTCTTTTTTTATGAGCAGAATATATTTATTGAATGAAAGAAAGCTCCTGTCCCAAGAGAGGGATGGGGGGGCGAGTGGGTAGTCCTCCCCCCCATTTTTTTTTTCTTTTTTTGGTACAGTCTTTAAAGTTTTTTCTGCTTCATTGGCCAGGAGACCATCCATTGCCATCCCCTCAGGATGCCCGCAGGCCTGGTGGCACAGGTCGTTGCTGATGGCTATAGCATGAGGGTGGGTAAAAGGAGACCTCGTTAACACATGTCAGCTGTGTTGTAGCAATCCCATTGCCGCCTTTGAGACAGAGTTCTTCCACATCAAGATTGAAGTACCAGGGTTAAGATTGCTTTTTTTGTTCTTTAAATCCATGAGGTACAAAATCGTGCATATGGTGCTGCCATTTGGGCCTGGCACTAAAATGCAGTGCCCACATTGAGCTGTAGTCTGGGGTAGGTGGCAGCATCTTGGCCCCTCTCCAGGGCTTACATTTGTTTCCTTTCGATGTAATGATTCAAATCATGGCCTTTAGAATACAATGTTGGGGAAGCTGGGAAATAAAGATTAACCCATTGGAAACAATTTGGACCTAGTGCATGGCTTGGCTCTGTCACCTTTGCCCTGGTCCATGGGTTCCCTGTCATGAAACACTACATGTTCCTCAGACAGGAACAGCCTTTCCTGATGTGAAGATTGGGTTTATTGTTTGCAACTGCATCATGGTGAAAAAAGAGAAAGCCTCAGGCTGCAAGAAGGAGCTTTGACCATAAACTCCTTGCTCTTTTCCCTCGTCTTAATACATGAACACACTCAGCCTTCCAGTTTAGACGAGGTGTCTGATGTAGTTTCTTGGTGCTAGCAGTGGAGTCCATGGCCCCATGGGATGCTGGCCACGGGCTCTGTCCCGGGCCACATCCCAGCCCGCAGGTGAGTGCTACTTGCTAGGAGGAGTGATTGCTCAGTAGGGCCTGCCTTGGAAGGAGAAAGTGCTGTTACTGGAGGCCAAGGTTGGGGCGTCTTCTTTCCCCAGCTTCTGTGCTCTGCTGTTCATTCATATTATGACTGTGTTTTACAGGAAGCAGTTAAACTAACAAGAGTGAAGTAGTTTTTAAAATATATATGAATGAGGACATGGTGAATGGGATGAAGTGTCACCAAGTGGCCTGTGTTTCACGCTCAGTGCTGAGTGAAAGGGGTTTGTAGAGCACAGGAAGTGACCATGTCATGCATACTTGTGTGCCGGAGCTTGACAGGTGACAGATGCTCAAAAATGTTTCTAGGGCTGGCCAGATAGCTCAGTGGACTAAAGCACTTATTTAGACGCAGGGACTGGGGTTTGATCCCCAGTGTGCCATGCAGGTTCTGCCCCCAGGGCATGCTAAATCAAGGACTGAGACTGGGCATGGTGGCGCCTGTAATCCCAGCGCTTGGGAGGCTGAAAACAGGAGGATCACTAGGAGCCCGATCTGTATAGTGAGACCCTGTACTAAATACATTTAAAAAAAGGTTCCTCAGCTAAAGGCTTGAAGGGACAGTAATCTTTGCTAGAGAACACACTTGCATGCTTATTAGCAAACATCAATTTGTCAACCAAATGTGTCCAATATTTATGATATTCCTATCCAATGATTAAAAGAGGACTTCAGTAACTTCTGCCTGCAATATTAGTTTATTAACAAAAAATAAGTACTTCAAGAGGTAGTATTTTATAATATTTAAAATCCAGACATACTTAAATTTTTCTCTTTTAGCTTAAATTAAAAGGATTATTGTAATGTTTCCTACTGCTGAGCGGTAACAGATACCCTCACATCAAGATGCATGGCACTTGGAGTATAAACTGGGTACTTCCCCCCGTATATGTGGTTTCTAGTTACTGCTACCACGCATCGCAGCCATCAGCACTGATTAGGGGATTTTCTTCCACTTCCCACACGTGAGTCTCACATGAAGTGCAGCCTTGGGCTTGAGCACCTGGGTGCAGGGCCTGAGGTTGCATGCCTGCTCCGCTGCCATCCAGCTGCGGCACCTGGGTGGGTGCAAGCCTTCTCCCAGGTCTCCCACCTGGAGAGCGGCTTCCACGACCACGTCTGCCTGTGGAAAAGGGATTAAAGGTGCCGGCGTATGTGGAGTACCTGGAGGAATTAAGCAAAAGTGTATGCTTGGCGTTGTTCCCACTGATGTCGCTTTTATGGCACCTGACTGGAGTTCACACAAGCATCACGAGGCCTGCCTCAGATGCCAGCTTGTCCTTGTTAATTGTGTGTGTTTTGCATAGTCGTCTCATGCAGGTCTTTGGGACTTGGGGTTGCTCAGTTTTGGTTTTTGGCTGCCTCACTCGTGTGCCCATGCTTTTGCCTTTTCTGACTTTCAGGTCAGGTGATGGAGACATTATTATCTTGCTCTTGTCTTTTCCAGGCTGTACCTTGCTATTTTATGAGACCTATGGCAAGAATTCTATGGACCAGAGCAGTGCCCCTCGCTGTGCCCTTTTTGCTGAGGACAGCATCGTGCAGTCCGTCCCAGAACACCCCAAGAAGGAAAATGTGTTCTGCCTCAGTAACGCTTTTGGAGATGTCTACCTTTTCCAGGTACTGCCTGTGCCGTGCAGGCGGAGGGGCAAGGGAGAGGCATGTGCACAGCTCAGATGAGAAGGAACGGGACTGAGAAACCTTAGGAATGAAATAGAGAATAATTTGTTCGGTTTAGGATTCACATTTGATCAGGAGGTGTGAGCCTCTGCTAACTGCTGTGCACCGGGGCCATGGCCAGTCTCGTCACTGGTACAACAGGCACTTCTCAGGTGCCCATGAAGTGCCAGGATTTGCTTGGGGATGCTCACCACAGCTCCAAGAGGCTTCATTATGGCCCTACTCTGCAGTAGCTCACAATGTGGAGAGTGACATAGTCAAGGTTCCCCGAGCTGAGGCATTTTAAGGAATCCTAGCAAATACGTATAGAAGGGCCTCAGGCTCTGGCCAAGAGTCCAGCAGAAGGAGGAGAAGCTTTCCCAGAAGGCCCTCATGACCAAGCACTCTGAGGTGTCTGTCCCTGTGGAAGTAGCCTTAGGTTGTTAAAGTTCAGGTGATCTGTTGTTAGTGGCTTTCTAGCAATTGCAAGGCTACAGAGTCTGGTGGCGCTGAGCCCTGGGTGCTAGGCCAGCCTCAGGTTTGCATCTTGGTGCTGTTGTTGAGTATGAATATTGTCTGGGAGCAATTACCAAGCGTCACTGGGGTTGAAACTCTTTAACAGTTAGGTTAATAACAATGGCTTAAAGGATTGCTGTAAGGGTTAGATAATATCATGTGCATATGTTATGTGCTAAAGAAATTCTGTTTTTCTGATTTCATTTTTGGGGGGATTTTGAGATGAGGTCTCCTTGTGTTGCCAAGGCTGGCTTTGAACATGTGGGCTCAAAGGATTCTCCTGCCTTGGCCTCTGGAATAACTGAGATTATAAATGCATGTGATCTCTCCTGCCCAAGACTTTTAACCATTATTATTTAACTTAAAAGAGATGAGAGTGACAGCCAGGAAGTGCAAAGGATGTCTCAAATGCCCCTCCACCTAAGCCTAGTGCTTCATGCAGACACAGTGCCAGCTGTAGATTGTATCTGGGAGAAGGCTCGTGGGAAGCCTCCGGGTCCTGGAGTCTGATCTCTGATGAAATTGATCCTGTGTGCCTGAGAACCGCTGCAGAGCAGAAGTTCTCTAGGCTGCCTCTGGGACGCTAGCAATCTCTGTTGTGCTCGCTGCAGCAGGATTTTCTGGGCACAGCAGTAGTAAACTGCAGCTTTACTGCTGTCCCCTGACTGACTTGACTTACAAGCGTTAAGGACTGAGATTTGCTTTTCCTCCACTTAACAGAAAAATTGATTAAACCCTTGTATGCTGCTGTGTAAAAAAGAGATGCTAACCTGAATTATAGGGCTGGGATGCCTTAGATTAAATTTTCATGGACTTCTCTTAGGATTAAGCATGAAATGAATGTTTTACTTTGTGATCCAGGCAAAATATGTTTAGTATTTTTTAAAAAAGAGAATTTAAAAAATTACAATAAAAATGATACAGAATTTCAAAACAAGATGATAGGAACTTAACAATGGTTGTTACGTTGCATATTGTTATCTTCAAAGTCGTTCCTCAGATTACCAGATATAAGAAGTTTTATCAATTGGCCCTATTTTATAATCCCGAGGTCCATAGAGCGTAGACTCCATGGCTTGTAGAGTAGGCATGTGGCCATTTCTGGACTTTCGATGTGGTAACATAACCCCATATGAGTGTACCCTGGTTTGCTCCCACTCCTGTTGTTGGCTATCTGCTCTTCCTCGTATTTAGAGTTTCCTGTCATATTTGAGGCTGCATGATTGTTTCTCTTTAGCTTTCTGTATTCTCTCAGACCCTCCTGGAGCTGAGTTGAGTGGCTGGGTGTGTTTTTGAGGTTAAACTCTTTTTTATGAAGTGCAAATATTTCCTTGGTTTGATACATCAAAGCTCAGTCTGCCACTTGGAGAGAATGATTGTGTTATAGTCCTTTGAAGCAGTTTCCCCCTGTGTTTAGGCCACCAGCCAGACAGACCTGGAGAACTGGGTCACTGCCATACATTCCGCATGTGCATCCCTTTTTGCAAAGAAGCATGGGAAAGAGGACACGGTGAGGCTGCTGAAGAGCCAGACAAGAAGTCTGCTCCAGAAGATTGACATGGACAGCAAGATGAAAAAGATGGCGGAGCTGCAGCTGTCTGTGGTGAGCGACCCCAAGAACAGGAAAGCCATTGAGAACCAGGTACTGTTTGTTCAAAATGCACACTTAGCTGGGCTGGTCGTTCTCTTGGGACAAATCATTTCTGATGCTCCTCGGTTCATGTTCTTTTGTGACAAGGGGATAGAGTACACTTTATGACCTTTGGTGGATAGAGATGGGTTGAGCATTCCTTATCTGAAATGCTTGGGACCGTTATTTAAATTTTTCTTTTCTTTTTTTTTCAGATTTTGGACTATTTGTATATACACCATGCAAAATCTTTGGGAGGGGATTTAAGACTAGCCATGAAATTATGTTCCATATATACCTTATATACATAGCCTGAATGTAGTGTTATATATTTTCAATAATTTGGTAAATGAAGCAAATATTCATGGAGTGGAAATTTTTATTTATAATGTCATATGTTGGCACTAAAAAGGTTTTGATTTTAGAACATTTCAGATTTGGGATTTTTGGATTAAGAAAGCTCAATTTGCTTATCTAAATCTTTGTGCCCAAATCTTTTTCCTGTGTTGAGTGGTGCCCCCTTGCCTGGCTGATTCTGTCAAATATTGTTACTTTCTTGACACAAGTGTACATAATAAAACCACTAGATGATTAGACAAGTATAATGCTGGTACAGAAGGCAGCTGTGGAAAGAAGGGTTTGGCATAAAATACTTATCCCCATGTAGGTGGAATCCAAAATCTAACAACAGGTAACAGACAAACTGCTAAGGAAGAGGGGATTACAGGCATGTGCCACAATGCCTAGTTTCAGGGCCAGCGTGACATGCGATACCAGGGATCGAACCTGGGTCCTTGTGCTTGCCAAGCAGGTGCTTAGGCCACTGAGCTATCTCCCCACTCCCCATGGCAGTCTTAAATGTAAAACTTAGATGTAAGTTTTATTTTTTTATGGTCTGTCTTCAGGCAGAGTATACATTTCGAGGTTGTGGAGAGATTGATCAGGTGGTGTTGCAGAGGGTGGACTAAAATGTAGAAAGTCAAAGGCAGGGAAGTGGCCCTGGCCTGGGTGTGCAGCTGCACGGGCTCAGATGCAGGGATGCAAAAGGGGCACCACGGCTTAGATGGAAAGAGTATGCCAGAGACCATCGATTCCTGTGATTCTCTAGTTCCTCTACTTGCAGGTGGGCCTGCTCCTCAGGCAGGGCATGCCATTTATTTAAATAGTATCTGTCATATTTAGATAGTATCTGTCAGCAGTCTCCAAACTGCAAAGCAGTTTTCACACGGAGGTGAGAAGGAAGCTGACCCTCCAAGAAGCAGCAGGCAGAGGTTGGGAGGGCGTGTGGAGTCTGACAAGGAAACAGCTGCTCCCCTGAGCAGCTGATGTTTTCACTGCCTGGCCTGCTGACTTCTGCTCGGAGAAGCTCGGGCCTGAGGCCGCCCGGCTGAGTGTGCCTCCTGCCCTCCTGCCCTGCTGTCTCTGTGCAGGGCAGCGTGACCATAGCTGCTCCGCTGAGGGTGGGACAGGTCAGAGGGCTTGAAGGAGAGTTTGGTTATCCTGGTGTTTTCTGTAACGGTATCTCGCTTGTGGTCCTGAACTTCCAAGCTCCAGTCTCACATCCTGTCTGTTAGTACAGATGTCACTCACAGAATCCAGTATCACAGTTATCAGGGCATCCTTGTCAAAAGTGTCATAGGATATGTGCATACTGATGTTTATAGCAGCACAATTCATAAGAGCTAGTTTTAGAAGTGGTAGATGAATGGTTAAAGAAAATATGGAGTACTACTCTGTCATAAAGAAAGATAGGCTTGCATCATTGTAGGAAAATGGATGCATAATGTTAAGCATGAAAAATCAGGCACAAAAGCTTCAGTGTTGCTCAGTTTGTCTTATGTGAGAAATCCAAAGTACAAATAAAGAACAAAATAAAAGATAATAGAAGGGAGAACTTCTGCAAAAGGAAATGAACCAAGAGATAGAGGGAAGAGGGAGGGGAAGGGGATGAGAAGATGTGTTGTATCCAGGTGCCAACTCCCCACAAGTGCTATAATCCTTATACACTGTAGACATGCATTAAAACACTGAAGAAAGAACTCTTGTTGACCATGATGCAGAAAAAATGCGACTTTAACTTTTCCTGGCTCTTTTAAGGTTAGCTGGGGAGCCGTGTTTTAGTCCCCTGGAAGAAACATCCCAAATTGAGGGTTTTAGGTCAAATGTTTAGGTTTAAGGAGAGAACAGGAAAATTGGCCAGACAGGGGGTGGGGGCCGCTCTGCGCTAGTGCGTTTGTGTTCGTTCTTGTGTGTGTGTATCTTTTTTGTGACCACAAGAAGTTCAAGCAAATGCTTTTTCAAACATTTAGGTTTTCACCCAGCACAGTTTCATTCCTCTGCCCGTGGCTTGTGAATGTTGACCTGGTGACAACATAATTGGTGCTGTTCTCCGATTGGGAGGGGACGTGTCTTTAGAATAAATCCTGCACAGATCTAAGAGCCATTGAGCAGCCCAGAGGGGAGGGCTTCTAAAGCATTAGGGCCATCACCCACTCTGTGACAGGGTAGTCACCTTATTCTGTGTGCACCGTCCTGTCCCGATTGCTTGTGCGCTTTCCTCTCAGTTCGTCCCTCTCTCGTGCCTGCCCCTAACCCAGTCCTGCTCCCTTCCCATCCCAGCCCAACTTTGCACACAGGCTTCCGCCCCACAACACGCTTGTGTGCTTCTGGAAAAGCACCACTTGGACGAGTCTTCAGAAATTCTGCCTAGAAACACTCTCCTCACCATATTGGCAATGTTTTAGGTTATAATTTAGTCCTGTTTCCCAACAGGGTTTTGCAGTGGGTGACAGGAATGACATCTGCTGGGCCCACTAGGCCCAGATCACTTGCCAGAAGGCTTATAAAGATAGCTGTTGATTCTTTACTTGAAGACACAAAGGCTAAGGAATATTTGGGCGTGATGGGCACACGGGCAGAGCTGCTTCTATGAGCTCTGCTTTGGCGAGAGGTAATGTGGTGCTCCAAAGGTGAAGGTGCTCACAGGCCAAGCCCAAAGGGCCGGTGCCAGGATAGCATTCCCTAAGCTGCCTTAACAAAGCACATAAAAGGGGAGGGCTCTGTCCACTTAGCAGTTAAAAATGTCAGCTCTACTATACGCTTTTGTAGTGCTTTCCCTGGAGACTCGGAGAACCTCAGATCCAGGCAGGATGTGTCCCGAACTAGCAGAAGGCACAGTGGAGATGACATCATGCAAGATCAGATCTCTGAAGTGGGTTTTCTTTGATGTATGTGGGTGGAGAAATATCATTGTGAATGCCTTTTCCTAATAAAAAGACATTCTCACAATATTAACGGCCGAGTTTCATACAGTAATGGGGTCACATGCTTTGCTTAAAATAAACCATGAGATGGTCTTGTCCTCAAGCCTCTGGGCATTTGGGGGACAGGATGATGCAACTTTCACTTGAGCATAGCCAATGCAGAGCAGGCCACGGGGAGCCAGCGGCCACAAGCTGGAGAAGCTTTGAAGTTCTGAGGGAGGAAGCGTTGTAAATTAAGTCCAGTTAAGGCTTTATTTTCCTTTCCGCTTATTATTTCAAACAAGTAAATAAGGACAGGGCTTCACCACCCTCAGGCGGTCCTGGCATCCTCCCAGATGGCTTCCCCCAGCCATCTCCTTGTGTGTCTGGGGGAAAGAGGGTCCCCGCTGGGCCCTGGCTGAGAGGGCAGCAGTGAGGCTACCAGGACCCTGGGGCACAGAGGGGTGCTTCACTGGGGGATGCATTGCTGTGCATTTTGTAACCTAGTGGGCTTTGTTTTAAATACTTGCCTCAGGGCTTAAGAGGATGAAGAAGGTGTACTGAAGTTGGACAATTGAAAACTGTAGCGAGATTTTCTGTCCAACATCTTGACGGGCCTGCAGTGGTAGCTGCTGTTCTCTAGGCTCTGTGATGCCACCCAAAGACAACAAGAAGAAAGATGCTGGAAGGTCGGCCAAGAAAGACAAAGACCCAGTGAACAAATCTGGGGGCAAGGTCAAAAAGCAGTGGTCCAAAGCAAAGTTCAGGACAAGCTCAACGGCCTGGTTCTGTTTGCTAAAGCTACTCAGAAAAGTGTGTTTGGGTGCTCTTAGTCACAGAGGATGAGTGGTAGTTGAGCATGTAGTTTCAGCATGATAGAGTGAATTCAGAGCAGATGGTGTCCCAGAGGGCTGGAGAAGAGGACGACAGAAATTTAGCCTTTGGCCTTGGAAGACTCCTGGAGTAGGCATGCCTGAGTCATTTTTTGAAAAATGAGGAATTAACCAGAAGAGGAACAGACAAAGGCACTCCCTAGAGGTGCAGTCTGAGCAAAGGCAAGGTGCTCTGGAACGGAGCAGGGCGCCCTCCCTGGTGGTGTGCCTGTGAGGCAGGTGGTTAGGAGTGACTGTACCGTGGTTCCTGCACTGCTGCAGAGAGCTGCAGCTTGGCCTCCTCAGGAACATTATACCTGGGATGCTGGCGAGGTTTGCATCTGGACAGCAGCCCTCATCCCGGGTCCTCTTGTGGCCGACAAGATGAAGTCCCCAAGACTTTCTCTTCAGCTGACGTCTGCCCAGCAACTCCAGACTTCCTGTAGGACCCAAGCTCACGCTTGCTTTCCTCCAGAGAGGACCGCAAGGGCCGGGCCTGCAGGTGCCGCTGTCTTCCTCCCTCCTCCCCCGGCTCTCGCCTCCACATTTGAGCTGAAGCCAAAGGGTGGCCTCCTCCGGGGCACTGTCCTCTGCCCTCTTCCCCGCCCCCCACTGCAGCAGGGCCTGTCTGCAGACCCATGGTTCTTGGTTTCTGCCTTTATCGCTGCTCTCACCACTGTGTTATGGTTATCTCCTTAGGGCTAAGCTGCTTCCTGCTCCAACCGTGAGCTCCTGAAGGAGCTCTCAGTACTTTGCTGGAGTTACTGAGTGAGGGGATGTACCTGTGCCTCCTGTGGACTTGGGGATTTTCCTCTTTATTGGAGGAAATGGTGTTCTTCCTGAGTCTACCTCACCCCAGCTTTTTTTTTTTTTTTTTTTTTTTTTTTTTTTTTTAGAGAGAGGGGTCCTGGGAATTGAACTCAGGACCTTGTGCTGCTTGCCAGGTGGGCACTGTACTGGTGAGCTATATCCTGACCTCAGCCCAGTGTTTACCTTGTGTTCTTAGCATTTTTCCTTCGGCCTTCCCTCTTCTCCTGCTGACCAAACCCTTCCATCTCTTTCCCCTTCCTGGTTTACTTATCAAAGACCTTTTCCCAAGGCATCAACATATTTGATTTCATGGCAACTCTGTGAGGTAAAGATGTAGGCAGGCATGATTGAAATATGTGGTGAATGTTTAAATAAAAATTATTATAGTAAAGGACTCATTATTATAATCCTTTTTTGTTTTGACCTCGCTTATTCCATTATTTTTGCCACTGTCTGAAGCAGTTCTGGGAGGCCTTTCATGTGAGTGACTGCATAAGTTGTGATAAGATATTGTGAATGCTGCCCCTGAGAACCATGCAGGTGAAGGCAGATTCATAAAAGCCTTATGGTGTGTGGCCATCGGTCATGTTCCCTGGGTGTGGCCCTGCACAATCTCGGACTCTTCCTCCAAGTTGAAATGAACATAAAGCATAAAGGCTCTAAGATGGTTCAAGCATGGAGGTGGCTGCTATGTGCAATTCGAGGCTCTCATGAAAAAGGGCTTCTAGAGTTGCTACAGCAAGAAGCAAGAAATGGTGTAAGCATGCTCGAAGTGGGGGTAGAGTGGTATTTTGAGTGGGATTAACTGGCAGTATGCATTTTGCTATAATACATTTTTTAAAAAAATTAAACACCATATTTTCAATCACACCTTGTATACTATACCCATTTGGGGAGGTGTGAAGGGACCGTTAAGTAAAGTAAAATTTTTGATGTTACCCAGCTGGTGAGTGGCAGAGCTGAGATTTGAACATAGATCTGTGTTCTTCTGTATAGACTATTGCTTCTCAGTAAAACTTGCTAAGTCAGATGATGTTTTGGTTGCTAACCAAGCCAAAGGATGAATTGTTTTGTATAAATTAGAGGCAAATCCTCAATTTACTCATTCTGATAACTTGGATTTTTCTGCTTGATTTAATTGGATGTGCATTGGCTAAAAAACTGAGTGAATTTCGTTTCTAAACAAAACAACCTGACTCTCAAAACCTTAGCTGGTTGTTCTAACTCCTAGGTAACTTTAGTTTAATCTGTGTCACTGGTTAGCTTCTTCTATGGAGATATTAGTGTTTGAAAGTATGGACTGGTTATTTTTGTCTTAGTCTGCCGAAAAGGCAAATCAAATTATCTTTTAGCAAAATCTAATAATGAATAACTGGCTATATGCTACAATAAAATGATTACATGGTAGAAACTTTTTCTAGGAGTGTTGGGTGTGGCAGGAATGTGCTTGTCATGTCGCTTATTCATTTGATTCATGTGTTATTTTTATCACTAGGCATCATCTCTTCCCCCTCCGACTTTTCTCTAGTGGGCCATAACTTCTCTGAGTTCATTACATGAATATAGAGCTACATTAGAAATAGGAATCTTCTGCATTGAATTTGTGTCAGTGCTTAAAAATGGAAGTATGCTCTTGTAATTTTGTTAAAAAGTTTTCCTTTTCCAATGAAAGATAATGAAAACCACCTTAAACTTTTTTCCATCTGTGTCATGTTTGGGTTTTGTGCATGGAGATTAAAAGAAATGAAAACTTGCTATGAGCTGGCATTTTTAGTATCATCTCCTGATACTTAAAAATAAAGGCAAAGTTAGGGATCATGGGTAACATGTAAGGAATTTAGAAAAGGAGGAAACTGACTTTCATTTACATTTTAAAAATGTATTCTTATCACACCTTCTGAGGGATTATCAATAAAATGTTTTTGTATTTATTTAGCATTGCTTAAAATTTAGGCCAAATTTGAATGTGGAGGTTTGAAATCGAACTGCAAGGTGTTCAGGAAGAACAAGACTGTAGATGCCTTGAGCCTCCCTCTGTACAGAATACCTGGGCACTTACAGAGAGAAAGGAGGCTGATAATTAGGTGAAGCTTGAAGTGAAAGTTGCCCAAGTGTGTTTTTGGGTGGTCCCTGATCTGCTTGAGAGGAACCCACGCTCATGGGCTCCAGGGGGCGCTGTACTTGACAGCCTGCTTGACCCAGGTTCTAGGCCTCACTGGCGTCAGCCTGAGTCCTTATGTCCCTGCTTGAGGCCTTGGGATCTAGCTTGTTGCTGTCTCTGCTGCTGAGAGGTGCAGGTGTGGTAGAAGCGGGTACTTCACTGGATCAGTGCTTATGTCGACAGACTTTCTGCACATTCCAAATTCTGTTTGGAACTGACGGACCTAGCTGTTCTACCTCCCCCTTCTGTCAGTGAAGTCATTGCTCTGAAAGTATGCTTTCACTGTACTTTCACTTACAAATCTTATCATTCCCTTACTATACCTTTGCTGAGTCTGGAAGGAAAAACTTTTATTGTCCCTTATTGAACTAAAAATCCTCATAAGTTCTGTGACTGATTCTTTCGGTAAAGAACCATGATTTGAAAAACAATATAAATACTGTCTGGGGCTGGGAGATAGCTCAGCACTCTAAGCGCCTGCCTGGCAAGCCCAAGGACCTAGTTTGATCCCTGGTACCATATACTATGCTGGCCATGGAGCCCTGAGTGCACTGTGCTGGCCCCTGAAACCAGGTGTGGTAGCACATAGTCCTAGTGTTGGGGGAGCTGAGACCGGAGGATCACCAGAAATCTGAGCTGTGCGGTGAGACCCTGTAACCAAATAATTAAAAAATACTGTCTGGAGTATTTATGGAATAAATGGTATAGATGTATGGCTAAGATAGCTTATTGTACCATAGAGATTTGTTTCCTCTGATTTTTGGTGGTTGGTATAGACCTAGATCTTATTTCTTTTGTTGTTTTTACTCCGCCACATATGACACAGGCATCTTTGCCTTTTGGTATCCAGTGACATTTATTTTCTTTCTTCTCTTTCATCAGTAGAACTCCTAGAAAATAGCTTGCAAACATTTTTTAAAATTGTATATATTTGGTTCAGGGTTCACTCTGCAGCTTGGATTCATAGTGATCCTTCTATCTCAGCCTCCTCAGCGCTGGGATTACAGGCATGCGCCACCATGCCTCGGTGGATGGCTTGGTGCGCTGGGGCAGGGCTGGCACTGCATGTGGTACTGGGGATCAAACTGGGTCCTTAGAATTGCCAGTCAGGTGCTTAGTTTGCTGAGCTACCTCTCCGGCGCTCATAAACATTTTGACAAGTTCCCATACATTGTCCAATCCAGAGCTATTAGGTGACAAAAGAATACATCTATAATACTGGATTTCTAAAAATGTTCTAAAGAGGAAGATATGTAGAGACAGAACTCAAAAAGTGTAGTTTTCACCATGACTTCAGGCAGGCATCAGTTTGTACCCACCCATCACTTTCAGAATCCAAAAGTCTCTAAAGTAGAAAGGCCAAGAGACTTAGAGGCTCAAGTGAACTCTTATTTATGAAGAGCAGTGATTCTCAGTAAGGCTGGGCACTGGGGTCGCAGCAGATGCTTTCCTAGGCCACACCTCAGGCCTAAGAGACTTCTTGGGCATAAGACTTGGCCTTCTGGATTTTTAAAAGCTACCAGGTGTGCTATCCATTCAAGGCTGGTAGCAGTAAAAACTCACATCACTATTAAAGCTATGTGAACTCTTCACCCAGGTTCCATTCATGGTGGGTGTTGGGATTATTTCAGTGTACTCTCTAACTTCACTGACAAACGATGATGAATCAACATTATTTAGCTCATGTAGCTGTCAGGTTTTTTTTTCATGTAGAAAATTGTACTGTGACCTTCCTGAGGGACAGTTATGAAGCACTTGAAGGAGGCCTGGGGAATATCTAGAACTGGTAACTTTTCCATGGGGAGAAAACAACACAACATTTGATGTTGGAAATCCTTCACATGATCATTGATGGAGCATTAAAGATTAGCCTGAAAAGTTTGGTCTGGAAGGTTAGCATATGCTTGGAGCTACACACTGCAAGGGAAATGACACAGCTGTTTCACTGAATCCTCTATCTTGAGCCTTCTGTGGTGGCCTGCTGGCATTTTGGGATTGCTCTCATGACTGGAAGCCTAGCTTTCTGCTTTGTTCCTGAGTACTATATTGAAAAGTCATTAGAGCTTCTCTTCACCTATTTGATTTAAATGGAGGTAGTGCCTGTATGTAACAGGTAATGACATCCTTAGAAGAAAGGAACACAGTCCCTGGGGTTTGTCTTGTGTCTTCACTAACTCACAACTTCAGTTTGGAAAGAACCCCATAGGTATTTCGGTTGTATGTCTGACTATCAGGCACTTTAATTTTATTCAGATGTACAGATGGTGGTTGTTCTCCAAGATACTTAAAATAGCTTAAAAGCTCTATGGGTCCTCATCCCTGAAGTCCATTTGCTTCATCTTGTTTCAAGTCATTACCCGGAATGCACAGGAACATAAAACCACTCCTTTCTGGAATCTAGCATCTGTCTGTGTGTAGTTTGCTTAATCCAGTTTAGGGTTAGAGGCTATAAATACAAAGGGAAATGAAACAGGAGGGCAAAACCACATTTCCATTTTCATTTTAAGTCTGCATGGTTTGATGTTGGAGCTCCCCAAAGATCATCCCACTTCAGTTTGTCACTGCACTTGGACTGCCGGCCTCCTTCCGTCTGGGGCTGTGTTGCTGAAGTGCAGCGTTGGTGATCCAGTGTATTTTTGTTAAGAGAACAAAGTGGAAAAGGCTGGTGTGAACCAGGTGATTCTAGCTGACCCTGAGTTTGCCCTGAGGTTTGTGAAAGTGATTACACTGTCATTGTAACCTACACAAGTTTATTTACCTCTATCCTTGCTCTTTAAGATCCGGCAGTGGGAGCAGAATCTGGAGAAATTTCACATGGATCTGTTCAGAATGCGCTGCTACCTGGCCAGCTTACAGGGTGGCGAGTTACCGAACCCCAAGAGCCTGCTTGCTGCCACCAGCCGCCCCTCCAAGCTGGCCCTCGGCCGGTTGGGCATCTTGTCTGTTTCTTCATTCCATGCTCTGGTAAGTTCCGAGGGAGGCTGTCCCTGCAGCCTTCAGAGAAGAGCATAGGCATTCCCCTTTCTCTAGCTTGGTGCCATCAGCTCTGCCTGCACTTACCTCAGGTCACCCAGAGCGGATGGAGGGGATGAGACTGTGAAAGTCCCCAGATGTTTCTTTACTACTGGTTCTGAGAATTTAGTTGCTAGTGGGCAGTTAGTACATGTTCACACCTGTGTCTGCCATGTGTCCACAGAACAGGGGTCATGGTGCTTCTGAGGAACAGCACCAGTGTTATGATTGAAAATCTGGTTAAAGGGAGCTTGACCTGTACTCCAGAGTCCCTTTGGGCTTTCTGAAATCACTCCTACTTCGGTGGCTTCTATGTCTAGGAGGTCTGTAGGTTGTTTTGCTGCTGCTGCTGCCTGTAGCAGGGAGATCCAAGTGTTTGTAACTAGGCTTGTGCTCCTGGATAGGAGGTATTTAAAGGGTGGGTACATTTCTGGTATATCAAGCATGCAGGAGACTTTGACACTGATCAAAGTGTTTTTATAGCAGGCAGAGCTTATTTTGGTTAGGACCACCATTAATTTTCTCTATCACTCACAAAATACACTTTCAGATGTTTTAAAACTGTGTTTTAAATTAGGTGTGCTCTAGAGATGACTCCGCTCTTCGAAAAAGAACACTTTCCCTGAGCCAGCGAGGGAGGAGCAAGAAGGGCATATTTTCTTCCTTAAAAGGGCTGGACACTTTGGCAAGGAAAGGGAAGGAGAAAAGAGCTTCCATCACTCAGGTGAGTCCTCAGCAGGGGAGAGCTACAGCCTGGGGTGGCCTCCCTGAAGTCCACCCTTCCCTCCCGCTGCAAACCACTCACATCCGTCCTTAGTGGGTGGGAGGAAAGGTGTCCCGGAATCAGAGCAGTCCACCCTCAGGATAAGCTTCTGCCCCGACATGAGGTACACAGGTTGTTCTGTCTGCTTTCACGTGCCCAAAGAGGGCATTGAGGAACCCCCAAAATAAGAATTATTCGAAAATAATCTGTACCTCTCATTATCTTAGGTACTAATATTTTTTCCATAGTGATTATGTTAAAATGAATGGGAAAAATTAATAATCATCAGAGCAGCTGAGTCCTGTGGCTAGCATTAGACTTTCTGCTTACTTGAGCCTTAGATACAGAGTGGGTGGTCTGTCAGCCCACCGCCCTGACAGAAGGCTGCACACAGAGAGCTGAACCTGGGCCCCGTCAGGGCTGCGCCTGAGCTGCAGGGCTGGGACGCTCACCGGCCTGAGGCCAAAGCTCTGACTTGCCGGACTATTGCTGAGGCTTATTTTCCCTTGAAGGGGTAATGCCTTTTAAAATATTTTATCAAGAAGAAAACCAGTCTGATCATTTGTTGCTGAAATATGGCCGAGCACACTGAACTATGTTCAGAGCATTTGGCACGTGCACATCTGACGTATTTCATAATGCCTCAAATAGTTTATATGAATGAACTTTATCTTGATTTATTTATATTAGAATTATTAATTTTTCAAGCTGTTGAAAAGGTAAAGCTAGAGATCTGATCATATAAGTGAACAGGGAAAATGTTTGCTCTTAAGTCTGAAGAAGTTCTTGTGTTTATTTTCAGTGGGTTGCTATTATTCTGAATATGTGTTCAGTGTCATCTGAGAAAGTCGTGTTTCTCAGACTTTATTATCTGACTTGTACATGGCTATTCAATTTTGCAAAACACTTTTTAAAATCAGATGGTAAGGGAGTAGTATCAATGTCTTCAGCCTGTTGAAGCACAATTAAAGGTGGTAAGAAGTGGGTTGGTTGAAAGACAGAAAAAAATACATGAAACTTTTGTTTCTTTGAGACAAATCTCACTGTGTAGTTCAGGTCGGCGTTGAACTCATTGTGTAGCCCCGGCTGGCCTCAAACTCATGGCGATCCTCCTGCCTCTGCCTCCTGAATGCTGGGGTAACAGGCCTGAACCACCATGTCTGGTTCTTCATGAAACTTCCTTTATGTGGCCATTGTTTCTGTGTACTCTCATATAGAAAGAATATCACATTTTAAAGTTACAGTACATATATTTTAATTCAGTTGTAAGCCACAGTTATGTGTTGGTTATAAATGGAAACACTTCCATTGTAGGTTGTAGTCAACTCTAAATGACCGGACAGTGCATTTTGAGTTGAACTTTATGATGTTTAAGGTTGTTAACCAGTTCTGATTTTACTCAAGATAGCCAGATCAGCATAATTGAGTGATAACTTAGTAAACAACTTGATAACTTGCTTATTTTTCTAAGATGTAGACAGCTGATTACCTAGCATATGTGTACATGTACTCAACAGAAAATTTTTTGATAAACAAATCATTTGGTTGAATATTTTTTGTTTTAAAAGATGTGAAACCAATTATAGTGTTGGTATTTATGTAACTGAATAAAATTGATTTAGTAGGTATTCCTAATGATTAAAGGTCTTAAATGCTAATATTCTATAAGATTAAAAAATTTGTAAAATGATTTCTAATTTTAGGTACAACCACTTTTAATGTTAAGCTATCTTTTCTCTCAAAATTTATTCCATGCACATTTAAAAAATAATTATAGGATTTTAGTGATGTTTCCAACTCTAAGATCTGTTCAGCATCTTGGGAAGTAAGTACCTGGCTAAAAACAGCATCAAGATTCAGTCTGATTTGAATAATAAATGACATCATTAAAATGTAAAATACATTAACTCTTTGTTAAGAAAAAGGAAAATAATTTTTAAAAAGTTTTGTTAAGGTATTAGTATAAATTATGAAATAAAGGCCTTATGAAATGTTGTACAATTTTTAATACTGAAAAAGATTGTGTGCTAAATGGACACTGCAGTCATTTCATTGGTCTTTTTCCCCCATATCTGTCAGATATTTGATTCCAGTGGCAGCCATGGATTTTCTGGAACTCAGTTACCTCACATCGTCACTAACCCCAGTGAGGTAAATTTGGCTGCAGGCAGCAGCCATATTGTTTTACATTGGTGACACAATGCTCAGTAAAGTAGAGAATGCTGACTCAGAATCTTTACATTAATCAATTGAAAATAAATTTAATCAAAATGATAAACTAAGAGATTCTCTGAATGCCAACTAGTTGTAGAGGTATCTAAACTTATCACTTCATCTTAAAATTAGTGACATTACTGAAGTCATAATAGTTTCTTTCATTTATACTTCCCTGTTTCTTAGCAAGACTTACCTTCATCTGAAGTTTAGTGGGTCTCAAATTGTATTTTTCTCTCCTGACTCTTAGGTCTTCTCATAGCTTGTACATTCTGTGCTATGGAAGAGCAACATTTGCCTTTCTGGGGCACTGTTGGTGTCTGTCCTCAGGGAAGCTGGACACTCTCTTTTTAGTCTTCATAATTCCTTCTGACAGAACAAATCCTCAGAGCAGTTTCTAAGTAACATTCTGGGGGTAGGGTGCAGATGGTTTGGCTGTTCTCCTCTTGGAGCCTTTTTCAGACTCACTTCTTTCTTTTATAGCTGCATTTCATGTTAGAGATGTATCTCTTTAAACCCTGCTGTCCATCATTTTGTCTTCAGTTTTATTTCTAACAAATCTCTGGGCTCTTTGTTGATGTTAAAAAAATCACTCCTAACAGACTTGGGCGAATTTAATATGCTTTTCTAGAAGCTGGCAATATTCTTCAATTAATGGATTGGGAATTTTGTATGAATATAATGAGGAGTAGTGGAGTGTCAGACATTGTGACAGGCTGAGGAACTTTCTAGTGGTCCTGAGATAGCATAGGTAGTCACCTATCCAGCCTCCAGGTGTGGTTGGCGCCCACCAGCGAGTGTGCCACCATTGTTCCAACTGCTTGAGAGTAGCAGCACAGCCTGAGGTGTCCTGCTTGCGGTAGGACAAGCCCTGGATGGATTAGGAAATCTGCCCACAATCACGCTCCTGATCAGCTGCAGTCCACAGGGTTCAGGGCTGCCAAAAGGTACAACGCATGACAGCATGGCGTGGCCCACACAGTGTGTCTCTGAGGTCATACATTTTGTGTTCCTCTTTTGCTGACTTGACCACAGCAGCAGGATAGGATGGAAGACTAGGAAGTCAGACCTAAAACTTTCCATCAATCATGACATCAAAGTGCATGTTTCATAATAAACACCCCCTTCCCCAGCCCCTTAGTTTCTATGCATCTGCAGAAGCTACTCAACATCCAGGTCTGTCACTCCATCCTTCAGGGACCTGACTTGCCTGTGGTGGTGGCTCTTGAGTTTGTTATTTGCTTGGTTCTTAACTGTGTCCTGCCTTTTGCTGTCTGCCATCCTCCCATGTGTGTGTCATGTTTCCCAGGAAAGCTTGTAAGCAGGACCTGAGTCTAGACAGTCTGGGATACATGCAGGTGATATATACATTGCAAATCTATAGCACATTATCAAGGACATACTACTCACATAGCAATTTTACTAATTAATTGTTTATAGGAGATGTTGTCCCTTACTAGCTGAAAAGAAGCCTCTGATCTCAATGGTTGGGAAGTGTTTCACACACAATGAAAATCTAGAGTTTTATGGCTTTGTCCTTTTTGAGGGGATTATGTAAATGTCTGAGATTCTTATTTTAAAGTTGAAAATGATATCAGAACATTTGTTGTTAGCAGAACTTAACAGTGGACTTTGACAATAAGTTGTGTTTATTCAAATTGGGTTCAAATTAACATATCTTGCTATTTTAACTGACATATTTCACCAAAACTGGAAGGGGATAAAAGGAAACTCTCATTATATCTGTTTTTTAAAGTACTTATATAGTTATTCTTCTTTGTTTTAACCAGGCATCACTCTGATATAGGGATCCTAAAGATGCTCCTTTTGTTTATGGGACTATTTTAATGGTGCCTGTATTGTTTCTGTATCTCGGACCTCAGATAACTAGGTTCAAATTGAATTGCAACCAGAACTGAAGGTATAATGTGTTTACATTCTAAAGTTTGGGACTTCTGCCTGTAGCTGGCTGAATAATATTTTACTAGTTTTCCTCAGCTGATCACTTTCGAAGGATCTTTATAATCTGCATAAACCATCTATTCACATACAGTTAGTACATTATGCACATTTGAGTAGCCCTGAAAGGCTGTAGTGAGGGCTGGGTGGGGTGCATTTTTATTCTACTTTAATTGGTTCATCACTAACAGCCCAGCACTGAGTCACCCTAATTTGAAATCTGTTAGGCCTGGACTAAAGCCAGTCTTACTTGAGTCATTTTTTTTTTTTAAAGGACACCTTGGCTAGCCAAAAATGAAAGCTTCTCAGAGTCTCCTCCTTGATGAATAAAAATGGGTCTCACAGAGTTTGGCGGGAGGCGTTTGTTATGGAGATTGTGACAACAAGTCCCCAAGGAGGCTTAGGATGGCAGCTGCCTCAGAAGCTCCACTGCGGACCTCCTCTGGGTCTGCCCTGGAAAGCTGGCTTACAGTGTTCCGACTTTCGGTGGCACGGAGTGAATGAAGTATTGTCACCTTAGTAGTTATTAGCTACAAACTGGTGGGGTGGGGTGGGGGTGGTGGAGGAATAACCCCAAACCCTCATGCTGGCTTCTCAAATGGAAAATGTGAATGGAACTACTAGCTTGTGACCATGACATGGCCTTTTTAAACAGAATGCTGGTCTGGCGCTCCACATGGCCCCCCACAGATACCGTTCCTGTGTGTGCATATGTAAGCACTCCCCCAGGTCTTTGTCTTCCCACATACAGCTCTGCTAGGGCATTAGCCCAGGAAGGAACTCAACACTTTGCTCCTCTGTGACGCTTTACATTGCGAACTCCAAGAGCAGATAACTCCTTTGTGTCCTCTCCTCATCTCACTTGCTAATCCCCTCTTTTTACCAGCCGTTGTGGGGGTGCGGGCCCATTTTTGACAGCCAGATTGTGATTTCGCTGGGCACTTCCTTCGGTGATCCAAGTAGTAATTATGAGCCATTTGATCTGAAAGCATCTGCTGCGAGAACGCGCACAGAGTTTCCATTTTCCCTGTGCGGCATACCAGGCAGAAGTAATTTGACATGTGGTTCCAGGGCCGTTAATATAATAATGATAATCATAAATGCTTCTGTGGAAGTTGCCCTACAAGGACAGCTAAAGCGATTTGCAGATGTTAGCTGGTTAGTGCCTTGTAGCTGTGGTTTATGGATGGTCCCGCTTGTGGATGGCCAGTGTGAGCCGGTCCAGAGGGTGGTCTGGCCTCAGCAGCCCCTGAGGTACCCCAGGTTTGGGAATGAGAGATGATCGTTGCTGCACTGTGGAGCAGTGCCTGGGAGGGGACAGTGTCGCTGACCAGGCTCCCTCCCCTTCAGAAAATCTTCGCGGTTTATGTCTTTGAAATGCCATCCTTCATGGCCGCCTCTCAGCTTCCCCGGAGACTGCTGTTTCAGTCTTTCTTTTAAGGTACAGAAATGGAAGTGCAGAGATAGTGGATAGCCAGGCTACTGAAGCTTAATAAGGCCAGTGTTGGGCCCAAGCTTCTCTTTTTTTCTAGTGTTATATTTTTGCTCTCTCCACTTTGTATTTTCTAGGGACTGGAAACCTTGAAGAAGGAATAGGCACTGGGGTAAGGTGGGATGGAAGAAGAGGTATAGGGAATGTATGCAGCCATATTGAAAAAAGTAGTTAACTGTGGAATTTTGGGTGAGTGGGTATGAAGACTAATTTAACATTGCACCTTTGGAAAGGATATGATAGGAAAAGAATTATCCAGATGGGCCAGGGTTTTTTTTGTATTTATTTTCAAGATTCTCTGTTCCTTTCTGGAAAGAGTATAGTAGAAGGTTTTATCTGGTTTAAAGAAATTAAAATGTGGCCAGGGAGATAGCTCAGTAGGTCTGAGTTCAATCCCCACATCTGCCAAAAAAAAAAAAGAAATTAAAATGTGCATTTTTCTGCTTGAATAACATTGACCCTTCTGCAGGGAATCAAACCAGCATTTTCTCCAAAAGGCATAGGAGATCTGTAAACATGAAATAGTTTTTTCTTGTTCTAATTAATTCCACATTCTCAAGACTCTTTGTGTATAGCAGGTTTTACTTTTTGTCAGTTGTGTATATTTATGGGATGTGTGTGTGTGTGTGTGTGTGTGTGTGTGTGTGTGTGTTTCAGCAAAAATGATACCTCATTTTTCCTTGGCTTGAAGAGTATCTGAATCTTTGATGGCCTTGGCTTTGACCGGCACCTTGTTTCCTATCAGCCGCTAGATCTTAGGCCAACAGTGTGGACCTAGGAAATGCTACCTCAGAGTAGTTGTATGTACAGAGCCACGTTCACTTGGGTGTAACAGGAGTATTTGTCAGGACTTCCATCCTACCATTTGCCCCTGAACTTTCCCCTTTTCCAGGATTTGTTCCCTTTCAATGAGTTAATTTCTCCTCTTGAAACTGTGGGGAGCACCAAGAATTAATCAGAGACCAATAAATGGCCTTGGTCTTCCAAGATAGATAAGATGTAATTTTTGTGGCCACAACCAGGTTGGCAGCCATGTACTGCTGTTTTCTGCTCGTGGCTAAGGGAGGCCAGGGGCAGGGGGACAGAGCCTCTCCCGTGCTTCCCCTCTCTAGAAGTGGCAGCGGTAGGGACAATTAAAATGAACTATCATGGAGGCTGCGCACTGCTTGATGTTATGGAAGGAACCTAGGCAGGTAGAGCCATCTAATTGAGTGGGATTGGGAGAGGAGGAGCAGAGGGAGGGGACACCTCATGAGAGAGGGGACGGCATTTGAAATAAGGCTAAAGGATGTGCATGGTTTTGGCAGAGCAGACAGGAAGTTGGAGTGGACATGGGTCCCAGAGCAGGAGAGTTCCACTCCTGGGAATGTCACGTGAGCCATTTTTGTTCGACTGGAGTTTGGGTAATGCAGTAAGAGAATGGAAAGAAGCTGAGAACATTAGGTCATTTCCATCTTGTGGGGAATTGACTGCCAGGCCAGTTTGCTGTATAGCATGATGTTGATGCATGCGGGCTGCAGGCAGACTTCTGGAGCTACATGCCCACAGAGCTGGAGTCACTAGTTGTGTGAGCTTGAAAAAGTTCCTAGAATTTTCTGTACCTTATTTATTTTTTAGCTGTTAAGTAAGGGGTCATTGTGCCTGCCTGAGAGGTGGGTGAACTGGTGGCAGGTCGAGAGCCGGTTTCCCTGGTCTCCTGTGATGCAGCTTGGAGAGGATGGGACTGGAGGGGTGACGGCATAGCCCTGGGTCTGTGCATAATTGTCTGCTGTTCTGCTGGGATAACGGTGTTGCTGCTTGGGGGAATCAGTCCAATTTTTTTTTCTCCAAAAGGGCAAAGCTTAAAATAGCCTCTGAGCTCTGGTAAGCACCACACAGAATTTCGTCTGGTTCTAATTAATCAATCCACATTTGTGGCGCTGTTTTGTCCCCCCACGTGTCCATTCTCAGCCACTCTTTTCCTGTTCTTCCCAAAGCTCAGAATTAAGTAGCAGCGACTGATTTCCTCTGGCCTTTTCCATTGTGCGGTTTCTTACTCCACAGTGCCCTCTGCTGGGCTTTTGGTTTCCCCTCTCAAGACGCATCCTGCAAGAAGTGGGACCTGCCCCTTAAAGGCAGCTCCGGTTGTCACCCAAGCGCCTGGTTGAAATCACTGTACAGTTGAAAGTTGCACCTGGGAAAATGAGCCTGAGAAAACATGTGACCCATGTGGGGTGGGAGCCTTCAGGGGGAGCGGCATCCAGGCAGCTCCTGGCATCCTGGCTCTCAGCATCTGCTGCTCTGTCTGTCTGTCTGTCTGTCTGTCTGTCTGTCTGTCTGTCTGTCTTGTCGGCATGGGTGGGGGGGAGGGGAATTCATTTGGTTGTGATCTTCCTTCCAGGAAAATGTGCTGAAAGTGACAGATGCATGGCAGATCCAGAGATGTAGCTTCAGAGTCGAGCGCCACATTTTTATAAAGACAACAGGGAGGGATGGATTCTTCCTTTGCTTTGCCCAGATCTTTTCTTTTGAATTTGTTGATTGTATCTGTTATAGTTTTTAAATCCTACAGAAGAGGATCTTTTGGTTTGGTTTTAAAAATGCATGATGTTAAAACTAATAATTATACCATGTAGTATGAAATCTGGTGGCATTGAATCTACATGTAACATTTTCATGGGAATAAGGTGTTTTCACATATGTGACTGCCCCCTTTTGCTTACAAAAGTTGTATTGCTAAGTAGTAAGCCTGAATAGTTATGATAGTAGGATCCTATTTTACAGAATAGGAGCTCAGGCTTAGCAAAGTTGATGTCTTATACCACGGCACACTTCCCTGATCCAGTCAATGACTTTTTGATTTGTTTACTGCCGTGCCAATAATCCAAGAACTGAGCTAGAGAAACAGTGCTTCATGTTGCTTAGTGCATGTTAGCTATGTTTGTTATAGAAGGAACATATTAGCTCCAAGTCATGAAATGATTGTGGTAGTGGAATTTAGGAAACTGTTGCAGGAAGGACGCCTGAAGGTGGTGTGTTTTGGGGGATTTCCTAAGAGTGTCCACACATTTGAAATAGCTGAAGGATGAGACAAAATTTCCTCTGCACTGAGTTTTTAAAAAGGCAAGAAAAATTATGCTTGGGATCAATTAAATAATTCAGGGTTAGGATGCAGAAAGATTTCAATGCCGTGGTGAGAATTCACTGGAAGGTTGGATGGCAGATTACATGCAGGTTTCACGGCACCTTCTCGCCACGTCCAGGGGCAGGAAGATGGCCCAGGGAGCCCTGCTAAGCGTTGCAGTGTTCCGAGTGAAGGGCGAGTTGGGACAGAGGCAGGAGTCAGCAGTCTTCAGTCAACAGTGCTGGCTTCAGCTCTGTCCGTGGGATATGTGCGGAAGTACGGGCTGGTCTGCCCAGCAGGCTGCAAGTGGCCAGCGACGGGAAGGTGTGAGGGGTGTGGAACAGCAACTGCTCCGCACGTGTGGGGAACAGCTTTGCCGCACTTTCCTTCATTTGCTCATCCATCGTGTCTACATTTTCTTCTGGCATCGAAAAACAGGTTGACGAACTCCTGCATCTTTATGGGTCAGCAGCCGATGGCGCTCCCCGGGACAACCCCTGGGAATTCCAGACGTACATTCACTTTCAGGATAATCAGGGCGTTACTGTCACAATCAAGCCAGAGCACAGAGTGGAAGATATTTTGACCTTGGCGTGCAAGGTAATGGCTTGTGCTGTGTAAGATAGTTCCGTGAAAAGAGTCAGCATTGAACTGCTGTGTCTTCCGTTTCAGGTCATGTGTAAGCCCTCGCTTTCTATGCTTGGGGACATAGGAGTGTGTTTGTTAATATATTTTATTAATTTACAATCTGTTTTTCCTTCCCTTTAAAAGAGCGAGTTGTTGGGCCATAATCATGTGACTACATAGGGAACCTGAATTCTCCCCCTTAGATTCGATACTCTTTGTGTCTGGAATGATTGTGGTGTCTATTGCCGTGTACGTTACTTGGTCATGGTGCTGTACATTACTGATACCAGCTTTAAAGTGGTTTGACTTAACCTGAAATTGCTGGATCATGTTTCTCCAGTTAGATGAATAACTCAGTACCACTCCCCATTCCTTCATGGAAATGAATATGAGTTGAATTTTTTATTCATTTTTCAAATTGGACTTTACTGCCTGTGTAAAGAGGAAGTATATGAAAGTCTTGAAGTGTACAGAGGTGAAACAGCTATGCACCGCAAGCACAGATCAGAAGCTTCCGGCCCACCAGGTGGCGCACTAGAGCTTGCGTATTTAAGTTTCCAGAGAAAGTACACTCGTGTATAGGCAATATAAAAAAAGAGGTGCTTTGCTAGTCAATCGAGTGTGTTTGTACATATGATGAAAAGTAACTGGAATTATGTTCATTTGCTATACTTACGTAAACATTACAATACATGAAATAAATTGCCCTCTGTCTTGAATGCTGAGGAAGCTTTGTCAGATAATTTGGAGTTAATACTCCAGATTCTAAAAAACAAAATGCCTTGACGTCAAATTGTGTTTGTATAAGAATTGTTTGCTAGAAACATTTGATAATGTACAAAGTAGTCTATGATAACACTGTTCAGTCATTTCAATATTTTTGTTACATGCCATGTTTTGTAACTATTCTCCAAAAGCTTGATAATAAAGCATATTTCTGTATCACCAAAAAAAAAAAAAAAAAGAGGTGCTTTGGTAACAGCCATGTCCACTTCACAGATGTGAACAGGTTAACGTTGGACCTCTTTTGTCATTGGATAATGTACATGTATACATGGACCTTGTTTCCTTGGGAATTTAATTGCTTTTTATTCAGAAGAGCTATAGTATTGTTTAATATCAAGAATATTCCCTTTTGCACAGATTTGTTTTCAAAGTATTCAAAGGGCGTCAGGGTAGTGGGCTAATTAATCCCCACTGGAGCATCGTTCAGAGATAAATTTCTCACTGTTAACACTGTGATGAGAAAAAAGGTGAAGGAGGAAAAGGGTTTGTGTGTGTGTCTTTATCATTTGAAAAGTTTTGGAATATGAAGTTTCTGCTTCTGAAGTCTGTGGGACCTGAGTTTGTTCCCATTTTATACATTTCTTAGATTAGTAATGGGATGCAGCTGATAAGTAGATGAAATTTGCTGAAATACTAAGATATATCTCATCAAATATATTCTTCCCTAATTTCTTATAAATATGCCCCTTACTATCACTAATATGCCCCTTTAGTGATAGTATTTAGAGAATGTCTTCTTAAAGATAGTTATTAGGCCCTCCCTCCTTGTGTATGAGCTCTTCTTTAAAGTCAGGAAATTATCTTCAGTCTTCTAGCGAAATCTACTTTGATTTTTAACGAACATGTTGAACAGGGATGAATTTAGAAAGAATGCTTAAAATCTGAATAACTTTTTTTTATAGATGAGGCAGTTGGACCCCAGTCACTACGGCCTGCAGCTTCGGAAATTAGTTGGCGAGAGCATTGAGTGCTGCATTCCTGCACCGTATGAATATGTGCAAGAGCAGGCAAGTGCGCATTCCGTGTGTGTGTGTGTGTGTGTGTGTGTCTGTCTGTCTGTCTGTCTGTCTGTCTGTGTCTGTATTGGGATTTTGAGACAGGGTTTCACTTTGTAGCCAGGGGTGGCCTTGAACTCACAGCAGTCCTCCTGCTTCAGCCTTCCTGGTGCTGGGATTGTAAGTATGTACTACCATGCCTGGCTAGTTTGGAAACAGTCTTCATCTAAAGTGACTTTTAACAGTGTTCTTATTTTGTTATGAAAAATTGTGTCAAAATTATTTTTGAGACATCATAGTATCAAATTCTGCTTTCACCTTTTGTAGGTTTATGATGAAATAGAAATCTTTCCACTAAATATTTATGATGTGCAGCTCACGAAGACTGGGAGTATCTCTGACTTTGGTAAGTGTAAGGGAGACCATCCTCAGAAAACCACTGTGTTTATCTTTGCTTAGTTTAGCCTGAGATCTTTGCACCTAGATTTTTATGATCATATTTTCAGAATATATAATAGTTTCTGAACTTTGGCTTATTTTCATTCCTGTTTGCTTATATTAACAAACTAAGAAGGGATGTATCAGTGGTGAGAAAAATGCCAAAGTAAATAAAAATACTGCATGTTAAAAATTGATGAGATATTTGGAATGATGGCTAGAGTGATAGCTCAGTGAATTTGCTGTTTGCCAGGTGCTTTCTAAGATGATTAACTCATGATTTCCACAAGAGTTCTTTCATCCCAGGCGTCTTTGTTCTTAGTTTTTTTTAACCCACCTGTAATGCTGTCCTTCCCCCATCCTTTCTCTTGGACAATGTAAATCTTATCTCTCCTTCCCGCACTAAGTGAAGTTCTTATCTGATTGCTTTTCTTTTCCTTCCCTGAAATTAATGATTAGAAGGCAGTACTTCCCAAATCACCTTGTGGCGGTTAATTCTTACATTTTTTTTTTTTTTTTTTGATCTACATTTAAACCTGACTCTAAACCCTTTGTAGACTGTGTTCCTATCTTAAAGTTCATTTCTTTTATTCTCTTTTATTTTTCTTTTTTTCCATATCTTTTATTATCTTTT